AACAATTTTAAAAGCTTGTTTCCAAAAGTGTGTACCTCTGTTATAGGACTACACGTTTTCGTTTGCATTATACACATACTCCATTAGTTTCAGATTGAATTGTTACTATTAGAATTTCATTATCTGGACACAAAAAAGTATGTACATATGTGTAAATATTAGAGATCCTTATTTCATCTATATTTAAATACACATATTACAGTACGTGGCATATTAAAGATACGTGTCGTGTGAATTATTTTATGTATGTTTGTATACACGTGTATTAATTCATGTAATTTTCAGAATATCAATATTAATTAAAACAGATCCAGAATATGACTCCACAAGTTTCGAAGTTTAAGTTTAAATATAAAACATCATTTTTATGAACAAAGTTTATTGAATTCGTTCTTTATCTTTATGTAAAAAATATTAACACATTAGTTTGTTTTATATAAAAATAAAGAACTAATTCAATAAATTTTTTTCGTATAAACAATGCTTCATTTCATTTTTGTAATTAAATTGTGGATTCATATCCTGAATCCATAAATTGATATCGATATTCTGAAAATTACATAAATTAAGATACAAATGTGAAATAATTCATGTTTGTATACACGTATGGATACATGTATGTATCATTAGATTTCGCGTTCAAAGCCGTAATTTCTAATAAATATTCGGATAATAGAACATTTGGATAATAGGGGAAAATATAGTAAAACTGCATAGTCGAATCGAACGGCATTACCTCTGTTTTTAAAGAATGTAATGTTGTCGAAATATCTTATTTTACCGAATAAGTAAATATATTTTTGAAATAAAAGATCTCATTTTCTAATTGTGCATAGTCTACTTAAATGCTTTATAAAATCTTCTTTGTCCTCTGTTCTTCTTTTGGTAACAAAAATTGAAAAGGAAAATGACTCCAGGCAAACAACTGTCGGATAGAGAAAAAGCCATGATCGAAGCTTTTCGTATTGAAGGCAGAGGATACATTTATAGTATACAGGGTGTCCCAAGCAATTGGAACAGGCTATACCTCCTAAACGGTTGGGAATAGAAAAATATGTTCTAAGTCAAAGTTAAATGGTATCAGACGATGTGTAATATGCAACTTTTGTGCATTGGTGCATCAGAAAACTGCAATTGCACCTTTTTTTTAAATGGAAACCTATATTTTTTACTACACCAGTCGATGTAGTTATGCTCTACATAACAGTACTAACATACTTATGCCCTAAACTTATTCGTTAGGAAGTTATCGAAGATAAAAGTTCTCCGAATCCATTACAATGTTTGTGCTGCCTCACAATGTTTCGCGGCTGCTAATACTAGTCACTGTAAGATTAAGATTTCCATCAGTAACTGTTTACTAGGCGTGTGGGATCGTTTGCTGTCCCAGTGTTTCGAAATTATGACATTTACGAATAGTGAAACAGTTGATATGTTCATTTTGTTTAGCAAATGCAATCAAAACGGTACCGAGGCCGCCAGGCTGTATCGAGAAACGTATCCTAATCGGCAACAGCCCTCGCGTTCGTATTTTTATAAACTGGAGTTCAATTTGCGTCAATACGGGTCTTTCCACAAACCAAAACGCGACGTGCCCAAACCAGTCGTTAAAGATGAAGGTAGTGTGACAGTAATGCTGGCGAACGTCGAATTAAATCCACATGCGTCCGTGAGAGATCTGGCTAGAGAATGTGGAATTTCAAAATCCTCGGTTCAACGCATTCTAAGAACACAGAACTTTTATCCTTATCGGTTTTCCGTTGGGCATACATTGCAGCCTGGGGACGAAATCCGAAGAATGTTGTTGATATTTCTTACGGCGTATTCAGGAAAATGAAAATTTTGTATTTCAAATTCTGTGGACAGACGAGGCGACATTTACAAACAATGGGCTGTTCAATCGATAGAATGAACATACATGGTCCGTTGTAAATCCACGTATCAGAAGGAACACTGACAATCAAATACGGTACAGTGTAAATGTTTGGTGTGGAATTTTTGACAAATGGATTATCGGTCCACATTTCTTTAACGGAACACTGACTGGTCAGAGGTACCTAAACTTTTTGGAATCTGACCTACCAGTTTTCTTCTACGATTCAGAGATTCCTCTAAGTGTACGGCAAAACATGAGGTACTTTCAACAAGAAATATCCAAAATTACGGAAAGGGACATCAGGAACGCACTGCGCAACATCAAGAAACGGACGGAAAGATGCTTGGACTGCAATGGAAGACCGTTCGAACACTTGTTGTAACGGAAGTACTCCGGAACGCTTGCTGAGAGACCGAAATAATTTGGAGAACTTTTATCTTCGATAACATCCTAACGAATAAGTTTAGGGCATAAGTATGTTAGTACTTTTATGTAGAGCATAAGAAACTACAACGACTGGTGCAGTCAAAAATGTAGGTTTCCATTTAAAAAAAAAGTGCAGTTGCATTTTTCTGATGCACCAATGCACAAAAGTGCATGAAATTAGTTGCATATTACGCATCGTCTGATATCATTTAACTTTGACTTATAACATATTTTTCTATTCCCAACCGTTTAGGAGGTATAGCCTGTTCCAGTTGCGTGGGGCACTCTGTATACAAACAATAAACAACCGCCGAGATCTTACACTCCGGGACAAAAAGATAGCACACTTCCAAATTATTGTAATTTCTGTTTATTAAACATTACAAATTCAGCTTTTTGTATGCATATATTTCAGACTGCCCTTGTTGATACATATGAATGAAATGAAACGAACCCTCCGTAATCTATCTATTTTTATTTAAAGAAATACAATTATTGACAAGATATAGAGGGACAAAATGATAGCACACTTAACGAAAAACTTGAAGCATAAAATAATTAATGAATATAAATGAATGCTTAATATTTTGTAGAACCTCATTTACATCTAATAATTTCAATCAATCTGTTTGGTCAAGATTTATACAATTGTTTAATATTTTTTGGCTAATATTCTACCACTCGCCCAAAATGCAGTTTTACTAAACAAACAAATTTACCAAAATTTTGTTTAAAGAGAGCAACTGCTAGTCGAGGCAAAAAAAAATATTTTTAACGTAGAATCATGTTGATAATTTAAACATTTCTTTATGCGAGTTTAATTTCTATCATTTATCGTGGGTGCTGAAGTATTCTTTCTTCGATGATAAATTTTTGTTGTCATAAAATTTTGAACTATTGTTCAAGTCTATGCTTAGTAAATTGGAAAGAAACTCGCGATATCGAATGCTTGCAAAAGATTGATTTTATTTTATTATAAATATTTTTTCATTTTTTAATGTCCTGAATCTCAACCAAGTTTCACAGTTCATATTTTTGTTAGAACTTCTTAACAAAGCATTTATGGATTTTCTGTTGTATAACATTTTAGTCTTAGTTTTACTTGTAGAATACACTGCTGAAGTGCGTACAGAAAAATGCGAAACACCATGTATGTACAGAGAAAAGTTGTTTAAAATTATGTCTCTGATAACATACTCCAACATTATACGAATCGGGTTTTCGTTAGACAGAGACAACTGAAAGAAAACTAAATAAACTATCGGCAGAAATGATTTTAACGCGAGTGAAGTCACGTTTAAACACATTTAACACATTCTTATGTTGTTATTTTTTATTCTTTAATTACGAGTGTATCTCATAAAGGACCCCGCACAGATCTTATGGAAAATGGTCCCCGGTTAAATTAGCTGAACTTTTGATATGATGTAGTTCATTATGTCTTGATGAAAAGTTCCAAGCCCAAGCTCGTAAATAGAACAGTTTCTGAGATACAGGGGATCACAAGTCAATAATAGTGCGCCTTATTCTAGACTACCACGTTTGAACATATTTGAGTGTAAGAAGCACTGTTGTACACTGCCCATTTATTTGACCCCTTAAAACTCGATAGTAGTACTGTGGACCCTTAAATATTACCCCTTTAAAAGGTAAAAAATGGTTCTCTTTCTCAATGTACAAACATGAAGCACCGTCGATATTAGCATTACCCAGTGTATACCACGAAGAGGTTGCTCGATCGGATTTTGCACATCATGTGGCCCTGAAAAGGGCCGTTTTTATAGTTCTCTCTATTCGGCCATAAGAATTTCAACATTCATATTATCTTGATGCCCTCTATTAGCGGCATCTCTGGTTGTATTTAGAAGATTGCCATCCAAATATTTGGCATGCCTTTGATGACGAGCAAATCCTAAAAACCTTGAAACACTTGCAATATGTGCGCATGTACCCAATGTTTAGGCAACAGATTGACAGGTGCAGTAGTAACCATTTATTACTTCCTCTTCTAGTTCCAGTTCATTTTCAGGAATGTGTAAAATAAGAACTTGATGTTTGGTACAATTCCGAAATTGTGAATAAACTTTTAGTCTTCTAAGGCTGTTATCTACCAACGAAGTGTCAATCTGTAATTCATCGTCATCATCTTTTTGCAGCAGAGGGTCAGGAGGTCAAGGAGTAATATTTAAGGGTCCACAGTACTACTATTGAGTTTTAAGTGGCCAAATAAATGGACAGTGTACAACAGTGCTTTTTACACTCAAATATGCTCAAACGTGGTAGTCTAGAATAAGGTGCACTATTATTGACTTTTAATCCCCTGTATCTCGGAAACTGTTCAATTTACGAGCTTGGGCCCATTGGAACTTTTCATCAAGACATAATGAACTACATCATATCAAAAGTTCAGCTAATTTAACCGAGGGCCATTTTCCATAAGATCTGTGCGGGATCCTTTGTTTCATCGAGCGATACATGCGAAAGGAAGCCAAAGCTCAAGATAAAAATCTCTGCATGTCTCTTTTCGAGTGAACTCGAAAAGGATTTTTAGTTGCGATTTTACCACTTGAAAGCGAGAATTACTGTATGTCCAACTCCTGATTGATGTATTTATCGTTAATTAAGTTGCATCAATATCGATTAATATCATTAACGAGACACGGAACCTCCATGTAAGCTCCGATATTTTAACACTTACCTACTTTCTATTGGCGTCGATACAGCAACGAATTTAGAGTTTCAGAAGACTATTCCCTTCGGTTCCTTACCGAATACTGACGAATAATAACAGCCGTCTTTGAAATTCAACCGGTAAACATACTGAGCAATGAATGTTTCGATACTTAAGGTCAGTCTAGGGGAATACATTTTTTGTTTGGGCGAAGTGGTAACATATTTAAGTTACAAATAGCATTTGCATGCAGAGATTCCTTCCTTTCCAAATTACATTCCTGGTGTGAAATAATAGAAAAACAATTATGAACATGACGGAAGTAAATATTTTTGATGCTTTGTATTATTATAACATAAATTACAAAAAGATAAGTGATAAACTCCACTCTTCTAGAGTCTTTTACTTACGCATCTTTTGTCGTTATTAGGATAATTGTGTCGTGGAAAAAAGACAGGGTCCGCCATTTTCAGAAACATTTACCTAAGACGTGTTGTCTCTGACGTTATCAAATAAATTTTTCGCTGGATAATTCGTCAATGCGTATCGATATCCATCGATTTCTATGAAAAGTGAATAATAACGTTTGCATGATCCCGACGATAAAAAATATGTTGTTGTGTGCTCGTCAATTTTTTTTGCAATAGTTTTTGCCAGTTTTTAAAGATGAGTCAAATGATTATGAAATTATTTGAATAGATTTCATTCCAAATTTTGTTAATTCTCACATGATGGATCCTAATGAGAGCATACAGATAAAAATGGTTGAAGATATAAATTTTAGTTTGAATGAAATTTACAAATAATTATTAATTAAACAACAAAAATATGGATTCATTGCAATACGCTGACAGTAACATTTCTTTCAAACATTTGAAACATGCAAAATAAACTAGTCAAACTAGCAAGATTTATTCATCCGAGATTATTATGGATCATTAGTATGGTTGTTAATTTTAAAAAAATGATCTTGAAAAAAAAACATAATCAAAATATATTTAGCTTTGAACCAAACAAATTTGTCCTGACATACTTTTTCGTACTATTAAAAATACCGAAAATATTAGGATGTGCAAGATAGAAGGAACACCCTATACAGGGTGTTTGATAACCCCTAGGAAAAATTGTAATGGGAGATTCTAGAGGCACAAATAGGACGAAAATAAAGGATACTAATTTGTTGAATGAGGCTTCATTAAAAAGTTATTAAAACATTAAATTAAAAAATTTCAAATCATTCTGAAAAAATTATTTTTGGTTGTGGAGCTCAATTACAATCATTTTTGGTGAATACATATACCCCTGAAATCCAACCGACTTTCGAGAAAAAAATTCGAATAGGTACTGAAATTTTTAGACGAAATTAAAAAATTTCAAATCATACTAAAAAAATTATATTCAGTTACAGCAGTCAATTATAAGCATTTTTGGTGAATATACATAACTCGAATTCCTACGCACTGTCGAGAAAAAAAATTCCTTACCGAAAATCTAATGTGAGGCCAGAAATGTTTCCCTGAAATTTCATGCGAATCTTTGAAAAGTCATAACTCCTGAACGGATTGGAGAATTTTAATTTTTCAAAATGCAAACAACGCGTATTTTAGTGGAGGATATGTAGAAATTCTAACAATATTGAAAAAGTTGTTCCTTGACACCGTGAAGTGACAAAAACCCTAAAAAATCTAGTCCAATTTTCAAATGGCCATAACTCCTACAATAGTAAAGATATCTCATTGAAATTTTTTTCTGAAGCAGAGCCCATGGGTACCTACAAAAAAGTATTAGACAACTTTTCTGTAGAACGTCAAACAAATTTATTAAAAATGAAAAACAAATTTTTAAGAAAAACCGACAGTGTGCAAGTAGGTTTCCAAATTTTTCGGCGAGAGAAAAGTTTCAAATCGGTCTGGGAAAATTATTTTTGGTTGCGGGGATCAAATATAACAATTTTTGGTGAATTCATATACCCCCGAAATACTACCCTCTTTCTAGAAAAAAATTCGGGAATGAATGAAATTTTTCGACAAATTGAAAAAATTTCAAATCGTTCTGGAAAAATTATTTTCGATTGCGGGGGTCAATTACAATAATTTTTCGTGAATAGACCTACCCCCGAAATCCTACCCACGTTCTACAAAAAAATTCAGTACGGACGGAACTTTAAACGTTAATAACTTCCTAACGAACTCTCCATCAACAAATTAGTATTCTTGATTTTCGTCTTATCTTGATCTCTAGAATCTCTCATTAAAATTTCTCGGAAGGGTGGTCGGACATCTTGTATAGGGCGCCACGCAACCCTAAAGTTGGCCCTACACTACTACAGTCGACCCTGTATAATGGGACATAAAATAAACAAATATTTCTCATTTGATCTAACTACTAATAAATTACACTTGATCAAACAAGTCTCTAAAATTGAATCCAATTATACGTTTATTTAATTTATAAGTATTTCTTGTAGTATCATTGTATAATATTACTCGAAAATTACACGAACTTTTAAATGATGTTCAAAGTTCGTTACAGTGGTTGAAAGAAATTTACCGTAAAAGAAAATTTAGTATGAAATGAGTTGATATCGAAATGCTTTAGAAAGCTAGCTGGCCATCAGAAAGGTTAGAAATCATAGCTCCGCGTTGATACGGCACTGGCCTCCAAAGGTGCCTATAGTATCCAAGCTTCTCGGCACACCGTCAGTGCACGCTGGCTCATCGCGCCGGTTGGTTTGTCTTGTTGGGTGTATCGGTTTTAAATTTGACAGCTAACGTTGCAGATCTTCGAATATCGTCTCGTTTCGCCTCTTTCGGTTCACGTTTCCTGCGAACATTCTCCGAATTATACCGTTCCGATCGATCGTGTCGCGTATCGTTCGTGTCAGCGATTACTGTTCGCGAAATTGTACAGGTTAACGACCAAAAATCGAAGGACAGTTGAGAAAATGCCAGCGGACGCAGAATTGAGTGATCTGCTTAGCAGGCGACGAAGAATCAACGAAGAGCTCGAAGAAGGGAAAGACGTGAAAAAGCAATACAAATTCGTGAACGTTTACACCGAGTTCCACGAGTTATCCCGCCGCGAGATCAAGCAGTACGAACAAACCTTCAACAGGTGAGGACTAAACCTTCCGTTTCTTTCTTCGTTTCTCTTACCTGCCCACGATTTTACCGGCACAAACCTGGAAAAATGTTGTCCTTCGTTGTCATTCGGAATAAACGTTCCTCACAATGGATCCGCGATCTATTTTTCTTCGTCCAAAGGACACCGTTTTCTGTACGAGGCTTTGTGTGTACAAATATTCGAGTGTCGTTCGATTTATCGTTTCAAGACCGATTAGACCCTAGTGTTTCTGTCGACGATGGTTAGGCATATTTTTAATGCATCGATCTTCGAAATGCAGTACACTTTCACTATTTACCGATCCAAACGGATATTTTACTCATTGTCAGCGACATTGGTGTATTTCTTGAGATATTAATCGTAGCGGACAACGTCAGGTTAGCAGTGAAACAATAAACATTTGTATGTCAGTAATAAATTACTAGATCCACTATATCCTTACCAGAATTTTCTAAAAACAGAATTTCTATTCGTTTTTACTCGATTATATATTTTTTTCATATATTGTTTGATATTTTATCGTAACCTATCTATTTCGAAGTTTCACAAGAATGAACCTTCGGTACAATAATTTCCATATACGTCATGCATTCAAATAAAGAAGTATTTTAAAAAATATTGGATGCAATTCTTTTTACGAAACCCCGTTTTCGAAAGAAATACATTTACACGTACAAAACGAAATTAAATAAAATCATTGAGAATACGTAACGATAAAATATGAAGTATTTTATATTCAACAAGATACAAATCGTCCATTTTATTTTTGTGTTCCGCTCAAAAAAATATATCGTTTGAATAAAATTTTGCCTATCTGGACGGCGAGGAAACTCGTTCGAAGGACAAGGAAATCGAAAGTATACGTATGTATACATCGGAACTCCTGTCGAGTCGCTCGCGAATTTCCTGCTTTGTTTACGTTTAGGCTCGAGTCTATTTACTCTCTTTACGAGCAGATCGTGTTTCTCTAGTTGGTCAGTTTTTCTACGTATGAAAATACACGAAATTACATCACGCAACGAATCAGTTCAGATGAAGTTTCAACTTGAAACATAATATGCCTGCAATTTTCTACTCCCGTGATATGTAATGCTTAACTATACTATGTCGCAGTCTAGTATAATCAACATAATGAGTTCCTATACTATACTATGTTACGTTACTCTGTTGTATTTAACTATAATGTGATCTACCATTCACTATTATACACACATCGTTTTTGATTATAATCAACTATATTACGTTCAATGATTCCATATAGTATGTTTGATTATTACTACATTTTGTTATACAAGGTGTACGGCCACCTCTGGGAAAAATTTTAATGGGGGATTCTAGAGGCCAAAATAAGACGAAAATCAAGAATACCAATTTGTTGATGGAGGCTTCGTTAAAAAGTTATTAACAATTAAATGCAAAAATTTCAAATCGTTCTGGAAAATTTATTTTCGGTTGCGGGGGTCAACTACAATCATTTTCGGTGAATACACATACCTCCGAAATCCTATCCACTTTCGAGCAAAAAAATCGGGTAGATGCTAAAATTTTTTAACGGAAAGAAAAAATTTCAAATCGTTCTGGAAAAATTATTTTCGGTTGCGGGAGTCAATTACAATCACTTTTGGTGAATAGACATACCCCCGAAATCCTACGCATTTTCGAGAAAAAAATTCAGTACGGGCGAAATTTAAACGTTAATAACTTTTTAACAAAGCCTACATCAACAAATTGGTATTTTTGATTTTCGTCTTATTTTGGCCTCTAGAATCTCCTATTAAAATTTTTCCTAGGGTTGCCCGAACACCCTGTGTAATATAATACTTTAATTTACTACACCCAAGAAACTTTGATAATTACGTAATATACATACAACAAATCATAATTTCTACTATAGTTAATTTTACTATGAGTTGCCATATTTTTTTGTAATAAGTTGTTCTTTATTACACATATTCAATTATACTGTGATCTACCATACACTACTATATTCTATTACGTTTTAGAGTACTTAAGTATATTATGATATATCAATGTATACATTTTTTATTATCATTATTAATTACATTAATTTTATTTTTTATATCAAGTAATATTTTTATTTTAATTTTTTTTTCGAAGTTAGTTTAACATTAATATTTCTAATAATTATTTATTGAGGAATAGGAGAATTACGAATTTTAGCAGGTTTATATTTAATAGTTCTTTATTATTGTTAATATTATATACATATTGAATACATATTGTTTTATAGAATATAGTGGTACTATACTATATGCAAAAGCTTTAATAAACGATACACGTAATTGTAATTTCATTTAACCAGTCAGCTGTGTTTGACGACTATATTCGTCATGGAGAAATGGCAGTATTTTGTGTTATGACGACTATATTCGTCACGCGTAAAATTAAGTTGCCATTTGCTGTTTAAATAGTAATTTTAGCAAAAACTAAAATATATTCGTGAATAACAATATGTTTAGAATCTTTGGGGGTTAAAACGAAATGAAACAAGTGCGCGCTCTGAAAAGAGGTCGCCACTGATCGCGCCCAGGGAATCGCTGACTGATTAAAGTTGAACTAGCTGTGAAGAAATATAATACTCATTGAGAACATTTATTTTTCTTTAGAGATCTTTCACTTTCAGTTTTAATTATGTATACTATTATTATAAACTAAAATCATTGAAAGCATTTTCTTCGACGTTTCAACCATTTTATTTTGATCCTCTTCAAAAACAGGGTTAATATAACACAAAAAGAATGCAAAAAATTGCAATTATTCTTACTCTATAGGTGAGTAGTAGAAAGTTATAACAATTAACTATGTTTATACAAACTACATGATAAACTATAAGAAGTTAATAGCTGTACATGAAAAACTTTTGTCAAAGTTTATATCTCATTGTCTTTTATATTAATTTAATATATTGTTTCTAAAAAAAGTCTAGAATAAATTGGTTGAAACGTCAAAGACATCTGCCAGGTACCCCAATCAAAGGAGACTCCAAAAAATATTTCAAAGACTTCTTGTTGTTATTCGTATACAACATACAAGGAATAAGATTTTTGATTTGAATACTTAATATAAACAAATATTAAAATCTCTCAATTATCAATTTAATATATACTTATTAATATAAAACTATATTAACAAACGATCTGATGATACTGATGAGAAAAATTAATTTATGTTATACTAAACGGATGACATTATTACTAATGATTTAAAGGAAGAATTAACATATATTATACATTTGTGTAAAAAATAAAAATTCTTTAATGTACGGATCAATTCAACTTTTTCTAATGAAAGAATATTTGAACAAATTTTATTAATTTCTATGATTAAAGTCAGTAATTTGTATTGATAAAATATAAATAATAATTTGCCAGTAATTTATATTAAAAATGATATAACAAACGAAATGGGTTATAATGAATTAAAACATAATTTCCAAGTTCAAAATACATGCAATGTCCAAATAAGGTAATAAAAATATGAGATCATTTTTGATTCGTGTTAGATATTTTTCTTACGTTGTGTCATGCCTGTGTGTCGTTTCGATAAAATGGGGATTTAAAAATATTCTTTATCAATCTCAGTGCCCCACATTTAAAAACTCGACTGATAAAAAAAAATATTAAAAATCAGAGATAGGACAGTTTTATCCCGTTAGATGACTGATAACACCAACGTTCAACAATTTACTTATGACGCACAGTGTTTGAAAACGACGATTTAGACGCGAAAAAGTCCAATTTTTTACCATCTCCAATCATTTTACTACATAAGTTTGTGAATCCTTGAGGTTTAATTTAGGTTAATTTTTACTCAGGAACTCGAGGTTTCAATTCTTCTTGGAAATCTGTTTTTGCAGTTCATATTTCTCCTTCTAGAAAATAATGATATTATAATGATTTCATTTTGTACTGTATGAATCTTGCACAGAAAGATACACACTTTATTTTGGAATAAAAACAATTAATCAAAATTTATTATAATTTTAAATGCATAATAAAAATTTTTTAAAATAGTTATCAAATTGGCACGTATTGGTCAAAATTCCACCACGGACTTGTAGTTTATATTCATTTCTTTGGTTTCTTTGAAAATCAGCTGCTACTTTTTGCTACTTTCTTAATAATATAACTTTAAAATTAGCGAATCTTGTTCTTATTATTCCTATTTTCTATTATTTTCTTCATTATTTACATACATTATATAATAAACACATTTCTTTTGTTTTCTTTAATTAAATAATTCAACTTTCATAAACATAAAATAATACAAAAATGATTAATCAAAATTAATGTTAACAGTGTTAATAATCGACCATAAATTTGTTTTCAAGAATTTATCTATTATACATCTTTACTCAACCGCTGTAAAATATTTAGTTCTATAATTGAAATTTTCTATTTAACGATAAACAATGTTTTATTCGATATTCGAAATTCTTGTCCAGATAAAAATATTACCCCTCTCTGCTTGGAATCACTGTACATTATAATTTTTTTGCAGCAAAAATTGATTAAAATTTTTATTTTTATGTTAATGTTTGTCTATTGAACGAAACAGTCTGTGACAGAGAACGTGGACAATTTGAGACGATCCTTGTCTCCGATTAGTCCCGAAGAATGTAGTCCAATCTCGCAGCCATTTTTTCCCCCGAAGCGAAGACGCGAGAGGCTCGGGCGTCGCGGCTCTGTTTCCACCGCTTGACCGAAAATAGCATTTGTTTCGTGCAACGTAGGACCCTGGAGATTTCATAGTTATTTCGCGGCGTGGAGGCAGAGCTTTTGAAGATGCCCAAGTGCTCGGCCGTGTGCACCCTACTTCTGCCTTGTCAAACCTGCTGCCCGGTTGACTCCGAAATACCTACAAGAAGAACAAGAGAGACGGAGGACAGACTCCTCGAGGTCGTCTGCCCTGGCCTGCAGCGCGACCTCCGTCTTGCGTCTTATTCCCCCGTGCTACGAAATAACTACGTC